GGAAAGAGTTCGAAATGAGGAAGTAAGACGAAGAATTGGAATAGATGGTTACTTAACAACATACATTGAGAGGAAACAGTTGATTTGGTATGGTCATGTTCAAAGAATGGAAGACACAAGACTACCCAAGAAGATTATGCAGTGGGTACCACCAAACCGCAAAAAACGAGGAAGACCCAAAAAGACATGGAAAGAAGGGGTAACTAAAGCAATGAGTACAAGAGATCTTAGAGACGGCCAATGGGATGATAGAAGGACGTGGAAGTTAGGCATCGGACAACGTCGAAAGACGTTCTAAAACCGATATATATATATATATATATATATATATATATATATATATAATATATATATATATATATATATATATATATATATATATATATATCTTCAATACAACAGCTAATAAATACAATACAATAATATCAGCAGACAAAATTAAATTTATGACAACATTTTAATACCCACTACAATTGATGGGAAATTAATAAAGCAGGAAGCAATGTTTAGATATTTGGGAACAGATATAACTAATACGGAGATGTTGAAGAAGAAGTACGACAACAAAGCTTAAAAGCAAGTAAAGCGGCGGGTTCTCTCAATGACACAATCTGCAAGAACAAACACCTAAGACAAGACACAAAAACAAGAATCTATAAAGCAGCAATTAGACCTATGTTAACATACACAAGCAAAACATAACTGGAGCAAATCTGTATGTGAACCAAATGAGAATTCAACGTGTCTCACAATACAATTACTTGGGAACTATAATCAATGAGTCGTGGGACAATACCCAAGAGATTAAATGTCGCATCGGAAAGGCCAAAAGTGCATTCTTAACTATGAGCTTTGTGTTCAAAAGCCATGACCTCACCATAAAAACAAAAATAAGGCTCCTTAAATGTTACGTGTACTCAGTGCTTCTGTATGGAGTAGAAAGGTTGACATTGAAGGCGAAAACTCTATCAAAACTTCAGGCCTTTGAATTATGGTTATACAGAAGAATCCTGAAGATACCATGGACAGACCAAGTCACCAATGAAGAAGTACTGCGGAGGATGAACACAACTGCGGATTTGGCCAACATTGTGAAGAGCCGTAAGCTGGAGTACTTGGGACATATAATGAGAAATCAAGGCAGATACGAGCTACTCCAATGCACTTTGCAGGGTAAAATTGAAGGAAAAAGAACCCCAGGACGAAGAAGAATATCCTGGCTTGCTAACTTGAGAGCATGGTATAGAAAGACCTCAACACAGCTATTTCGTATAGCAACCAACAAAATCATCATAGCCAGAATGATCGCCAACGTTCGGAACGGACAGGCACCCTAAGAAGAAGAACATACACGGCGAAGACAAGACCTGACACATCTACAACGAGACGACTGCTAGAAACAACATAGATAAAAATATTCAGACCAAGATCAGGGAGAAGTTTATTGGATAGGGAGAGAAGTGAAAACATAAGAAGAGCATGCAATATAGAAGACACAAATGGATGGGTGACAAAAAGAAAACATAAGTGGAACGAACATATCAGTAGAATGGCAGAGGATAGAATAGTACTAATAGCACGAGATAAGTCACCAAAAGGACGAAGAAGTATTGGCAGACTAAGAAAAAGATGGTGCGACAATTTAGGAGGCTAATATTGAAGAAGGAACAGGCTTTAAAGCCTACATACTAGAAGGAAGAAGACTTTTATCTCAGTACTGAAAACCCTAACAATAGACGTTAGTCAGGATATACGAGTTTTACTTTTTTACTTTTACACTTTGTGATTTTTTCGTTTTGCTGTTAGTTTTCTCTTCTTCCTCTCCCTCCTTATATCTTTTGAATGATTATAGTTATATTAGTAAAATTTTGGGACAAGAACTAAAAAAGACGTAGGCTTCTTAACTAGTCATTAGATGACGTAATAGTGATAGGTGACGTAACAGAGTCACTATGACGGATACCTTTGAACTAGGGCTTATGGAAAGTGACTTGTCGTTTAAAAGGTATTGAAAATGCTTATTTAATCATACTAATTTTGTTTGGGTTTAAGCCTATTTTAATGAAAAAATAAAATACATACTAAAATTGTAGTTTCGAAAATATTAAAGAAGGTTTAAGATCCAGTTCTTATATTCTTCTTATTCAGTTTTAAGTAATCCAACTTTGGACATAGGCCTCTCCCAAATCAATGCAGTGCCTTCTATTTTCCGTCGTTTACTTTCAATTATGTTTTCCGATGTTCTTAATATTATCCGCCCATCTTATTTGTCGTCTTCCTCTACTTCTCTTACCTAAGCATGCTCTCCATTGTTGTATATCGTGTTTCCATCTCTTATCCTTCAGTCGGGCATTGTGTCCTGCGAAGCTCCATTTTAATATGGCAGCATGTTCTTCTGCGTCTTTTACTTTGTTTTTGCTTTTAATCCATAGTTCTTATATTAACTATTCAAAATATAATTCGTCTACTTTTTGACAGTAATACTTTCTATTGCTAAACCCGTCGTAATCGTTCAAAAATTGTCGGGGAAATGGCTCTTAATTCTTTAACAATTGGTTGTTTTAAAATGTCAATACTGTGAAGTGCTATACCTAGGCCCTTACCTAGACCTTACTCATCTAGGTAACGTCTTAATGCACTATAAGGTTGTACAGGAGTAAGGAGTACGGATATTGTTGGAACTTTATTTCCACGTTGCCAAATTCTTTTAGATTATCTTTCAGAATTTTAACAATTAGCGGCTTAATTGCGTTTTATAACCTCTTGAGATACACTTGACCAATTAAGTTAGCATTGAGAAAAACAGGCACAACTATGTGGTTTCCCAAAATACTTGTCCAAAAATTCAGTTTTTCTAGAAATTGAGTGTGTTTTTCACAAAAAAGTAATTCTTTATGTCACTCCTATACCTCACATTAGTATGTTAACATTTACATTGAGAAAAAAAGAATTTTCGGTACTAAAACAAATTAATTTTATGTAATCTGGCTGATGGTGTTACTTTGATTCAACATAGTTTCAGGGAATTCTAGTCTTTGGTCGAAGTCATCATCTTAAAGTTTGTGCACAATTTTTAATTTTTTTTTCTTCTTCTTCTTTTTTATAAACAATTCTGCTTGCTCATTGACGGATTAATAGCCCTATGAAAGGTTGTCACTCCATTTTTTGCGCGGTCGTCCGATACTCCTTCTGCCGATTCGTGACTTATATGTTGCTATTTCGACGACACGGGTCTCCTCCATTCTGCTATGTGGTTATTCCATTTTTTTTTCTATTTTGTGTCCATTTTTTTTGTACACTGTACATTTTCTTCTAATTTCTTCACTTCTGTTTCGATCTTTCAGCGTATTTCCTGTAATATGTCTTAGTAATCCCATCTCTACCGTTTCCAGTAGTCTTTGCGTTGTGGCTATGTCGGGTGTTGTTTATGAGGTTATGGTATTATTAATCTTACACTGGCTTTATAAATTCTTGACTTCATCTTAGTGTTAATGTGTCTGTTTCGCAATATAACGTTATTAAGGCATCCTGATAGCCTATTTGCTTTTTGTACTTGATCTCTCACTTCTTTGTCCATTTCTCCATAGCTAGACAGTGTAATTTCCAAACACTTTATTTCCATTACTTGTTCAATACTGATACCATCATCTTCTATTTTACATCTTGTTCGTTCTTAACTGACTATCTTCTTGAAGCCTATCTTCATATTGGGCTATCAATATTGCGTCGTCTGCGTAATAGAGTATTTTATTTCTTTGTTTATCATTCTGTATTCTGGCTGTATATCCGCCAATTTTTATAGGGTCTGTAAGTTATCCATCTACTCTGACTTCCATTTTGTTGTTTTGGTAAATGTTTTCGTTTTTTTATAATATTTAGGGAAACTTCTCTATTATACAGAGGATGGAGTCTCTATGAGTCTTACTCCGTCAAAGGCTTTCTTTAGGTTAATCAGACACATAAATACTGGACTGTTGTACTTTAGTGATTTCTTAGTAATTTGCTTCATAACAAATCTTGCATCTGTACATAATCTTCCTCTACGAAAATCCTGTTGTTCATGTGATAAACTTATCCTCTGATTTGATAGCAATTTTAAAAATTTAGTTATAAGTTTTGCATAGAGTTTATACCTCTTGGCTTTGTGGTTATTTTATTTTCTTTTTTGAATAGTAGAATTCTTAAATTTTAGTTTGTATGGATCAAATTCATTTTTTGTCAACACTCGGTGTACTGTCCTTTGACTGTTTCCACAGATAGACGCAACTTGAGCTATTGAAGAAGAATGGTTCACTACTATTTCTGCAATTATGTCCGGTTTTTGTCAGCATTAATATTTGTTGATCATCCAGATAGTTTGGCATCTTGAACTCTACAAGGAAAAACCCAAACAGAATCTGTAGGAAGACCATGAAAACAATGGAACGATAGTTTACTGGAGGCACATCGGAAAAAAGGCAGCGTCATCTCTACATAAAAAGAAAAAGAAAAAGAAGACCATCATTAATATCGTTTTATCGTTTGTTTTTATAAATGACTGTAGGATCAAATTGATGTCAAAAACGGTAAAAATGCTTTAACGTACAAGCCTTCAGTACTTTTGAGAATTTTTTTAACCGCTGTTATTTTCCCAAAGTTTTTGTTTTTTCCAGAAATGTATAATCAAATTTATCAATTCTTCATCTTCCAGAGAAATAGTTGGTAAGTCAGTTAGTTTCCTAATAAATGTTTTCCAAAGGTGACTCAAAATTTACATTTCACCTCGGAGTATGTTGAATAGTAAGTTAATATGCTTAATTTTCTTGCAGTTTATTTTCGTCTATGGATATGTTGAATAGTATAGTAATCGTTACTAATAGCTATGCTTCTCCCCCGAAAATGTATAGAAACATAAAATAATCCCACAAAGACGTTTTTTACAAGAAACTCAAAGGCAACAAAGGTTGAGTACAACTTGTTGTGAGTATAACTTAAATATTAATATAATAAACAAATTGTATTTAACTGGATTTTATTTTGTATATTTTGTTACTTAGATAACTGGGTAAAACTGTTTTAAAATACAAAAGAACAGTAACAGTTAATGCTAAAAATATAAACACTATAAAAATCAGAAATAATTTAACATCTAGTGAGGACTGTACGAAGAGCGACAAATTTCTTGACTCTGGATCCAAGTGATGAGTGCCATTGTGTCTCATTGTGTATTCTATCCAGAAAAGAGCGCGTTCAAGAGGGGTTTCCTTTTGATCTCTAACTATCCTTGATAATTTTTGTATGTTTTTAAGGTACCTAAAATAATACACCAGAAATTGTTATATGTATCAATACTTTTATTAGTAACAATTAGTTACAATAGTTATAGTTACAATTCGTAACCAAATAGACTTCATATGTATAAATAAGAGATACAGAAATTCAGTATTATCAGTAAAAACATATCCAGGAGCAGATGTACCAACCGATCACAATATTTTAGTAGGAAAAATAAGACTGAGATTAAAAAGAGTTGCAAGGACGAATAAGCAAACAGTTACTATTGATAGAGAAACGATGCTAAATGATACTGTAAAACAAGAAATAACTAGTATATTAGAACAAAAGATGAAGTTAACATTAAGCAAAGAAGAAAGTACTGAGGAAAACTGGACGAGAATTAAAGACATCTTAAAGGCTGTTCAAGAAACAAAATTGAGTGCGCTAAAAGCAAGAAAAAAACAGGGGTGGATGACAGAAGAAATACTGAGACTTATAGATCAAAGAAGAGAAGTCAGAAATAAAGATAAAAACGAATACAAGAGGATCCACGCAATAATCAGGCAGAAGATAAGACACGCGAAAACACAATTTCATAGTAAAGAATGTAATGAAATTCAACAATATGAAAAGAAACACGATACATTTCATCTGCACAAGAAATTGAAAGAGGTCGCTGGAAACAAATGGAAACAAGTATCCCAAAGTTTAGAAGACAGAAACGGACACAGAATATTAGACATCAATGAAAAGTTAAAAGAATGGGAAAACTACATTTCTGAATTATTTGAAGATGAGAGAGTAGAACACTATACACCGATTGCTATATCAGGTCCATCTATAACAGAAACTGAGGTAAGACGTTCAATACAAACGGCAAAAAATGGAAAAGCACTTGGCCCCGATGAAGTAAGTGCTGAAATACTAAAGTTTTTGGGAGAAAATGGAATTAAAGCTCTGTGTAATCTCTTTAACAGAATTTATGACACTGGGATATTACCAACTGATTGGTTAAAGTCGACATTTGTCACAATACCTAAGAAATATCGTCCAAAGACATGCGGTGATTATCGGACAATAAGTCTGATGAGTCACGTTTTGAAAATCTTTCTGCGAGTAATACATAGCAGAATTTATACGCTGTTAGAGGACAGAATTAGCAATACTCAATTTGGGTTTAGGAGTGGCTTGGGTACAAGAGAAGCCTTGTTTAGTATACAGGTGCTAGTACAGAGATGCAGAGATATAAATCAAAATGTGTATATTTGTGCAATCGATTTTGAAAAAGCTTTTGACAAAGTCCGACATAACAAAATGCTAGAAATATTGGAAACAGCTGGATTGGACGATAAAGATCTACGAATAATTACAAATCTATACTGGCATCAAGTGGCAAGAATAAAGGTTGAACAAGAACTGTCGGATGAAATAAATATAAAAAGAGGAGTGAGACAAGGCTGTATATTGTCGCCTTTACTTTTTAACTTATATTCGGAGGAAATATTTAAGGAAGCCTTAATGGAGACAACCGAAGGTATTATTGTGAATGGAGTAACCGTCAACAATATTAGATATGCCGACGATACCTTAGTCCTTGCCAATTGCGGAGAAGACCTTCAAAATCTAATGAACAAAATAAAACAGACTTGTGATCAGTATGGACTAAAACTCAACGTTAAGAAAACTAAATATATGATAGTTAGCAAACAAAATTATATACATGATGACGGTATAAAAGTCGGCGATGCCACACTGGACAGAGTAGAGAAACTCGTGTATCTCGGCAGTAATATCAATGAGAGCTGGGATCCAACCGCAGAAATTAAAAGCCGAATAGAACAAGCCCGAGCTGCCTTTGTAAAAATGAGAAACGTACTTTGCAGTCATGATCTTAGCATTGACCTTAGAGTTCGTATGATATCTTACTACATCTTTCCTGTCCTGCTGTATGGAGTAGAAGCGTGGACCCTAACTGAGGCTATGCTTAAACGCTTGACAGCCTTTGAGATGTGGGTATACAGACGACTAATGAAAATAAGCTGGGTCGACAGAGTTAGAAATGAGGAGGTCCTTAGACGGCTGAACCAAACAACACAACTGGTCAATATAATAAAGAAACGCAAGCTGGAATACTTCGGTCATATTATGAGACACCCTGAAAAATATGATCTTTTACATCTGATCATTCAGGGAAAGATCCAAGGTAATCGTGGTCCTGGTAGAAGAAGAACATCATGGCTGAAAAATCCAAGGCAATGGTATGGAAAATCAACTACATCGTTATTTAGAGCTGCTGTCAATAAAGTCACGATAGCGAATAGGGTAGCCAACATGATATCCAACGATCGATAACGGTCATGGAACTAGAAGAAGAAGAATCAATAATTTTAATTTGTTAAGGATTATTTGTAAAAATTTAGGTATATTATACGGAATGTATTCAAAAATTTTAGCAGAAATTTAACTGTAAAGAAGTAGAAATAGGTTCTTTACTAACACTACATTTAGAAAATAAGCCCATAGTGAGTTGTAAACAGTTGTAGTTTACACTAGTAAAACTACTTCGAGATAAAAGATATCACAAATAAAAATATCTACCTATGTTAGGTTAGGTCCAAATTCAAAAATTTATTCATTTAAGTTGTATGGTTAGGATAGTAGTTTACCATTGTGGATGCGTTATCTTTGAAATAACAGTAAATTAATTTTGTATCGCCAATAACTTACAGTAACTTCCTTATCCTTACAGTTATCTTATTATCGGTCGAAAAATTTAAACACATGTCATGGACTGGTCTTCCTGTAAGGTTGTCTCAGATTTACCCGTTGCATATGAGAGATGAACGTTTTCCTTCTTCATCGAAGTGATGGATTTTTTTTAATTAAACCTAAGAATATTATTGTCAAAGTTTTCATGTGGTCTTATTTTTATAGCTTTTTTGACTGTACTTGTCTTGTGTTGTGAGATAGCTGAGGTCTGTTTGTAAGAATTAAGGTCTTTTTTATCCCGTAGTATTTTATGCGTAAATAAACATTTGTGTGTGCTTCAGATAGCCAAGACTTGGAGTTGATTTAATTGGAGGTATTCTCCATATATGTGTTGTAACTTTTCAAAAAAAGTGTCCTAGTACTTTTTTTATTTTAATAGCATCAACCACAGGGGTCATTAGCTATACCTATACTTTATACATTATATGGTAAGTAGTACACTAATATCTTTAAAATATTTAAATTACAATTTGGACCTAAATTTTGACATAATTCGTTAGATGAGAAGTTTTTGTGTCTTTCTTTATTAAATTTAGGGTAGTCTATTAAAATATGATGTATGGTTATTTCACTGTTGCACAAATCACATAAAAAACAGTTTTTTTAGCTATTAAGTAATTATGGGTCAATCTCATGTGACCTATATGCAACCTGGTTAACTTTACAAACAGTTGTCGGTTAAGATCAATATCACAACAAGATGTTGTCTAAACTTTTATGTTCCAGAAGTTCAAATAGTGCATTCTTTATGAGAAGTTCACTAAGATGTGTGGTATGCAATTGTTTCATGGTTTGTAATGAATTAGGGGAGTCAGTGATTATAAGAGAATTTCAAATGTTGAGATCGATAATATGAATAAGCACCTGAAAAATTACATAGAGTTCTTTAGTGCGTATTCTACTAATAAAAGGTAACTTATATTGTGATGTAATGAATGGTGTGACAAATGCTGACCCTACACCAGAGGATGTTTTAGAAGCATCCGTGTATATGTGATAAGGAATCTGGAAGCTGGCAAGTTTGTAAAGGAAATATTGTCGAATTCGTATAGATGGAGAATCAAATTTATTATATGATGTAAGTGATAGATCACATGATATAGGTGGAATGATCCAAGGAAGAGGAGTTGGTATATTTGTTTCGAACATTTCTGTAAAATAGGTGTCAAGTAAGGATATATGTCTTCTAATTCTTTCACAAAAAGAAGGATCTATACCATTTTTATTGTATGCTTCTTTAAAACGGTTTGCAATTGTGTGATAAACAGTAGGGTGTGATGATACTGCAGATATAGTTGAGACATAGGCCAAGGAGAGGTACGTTCTTCTTAATTTTAGAGAGTATTCACCGGTTAAACACTGTAGACTTGCGACAGGGCTTATACACAATGCTACTGTAGCAATTCGAAGTGCCGTGTTTTGAATAGTCTCAAGTTGATTTAGCACTGTTTTTTTCGCAGAGGAATAAACTATGCATCCATAATCCAAATTGCTTCTTATCAGTGCTTTATACATGTAAATGAGACATTTGTAGTCTGAACCCCAGTTGTTATGACATAAGGTACGCAATAAATTAAGACCGTTTTGGCATGATTTTTTTAGATTAACAATATGAGATTTCCATGATAATTGTTTGTCAAACAGCATTCCCAAAAATTTAATGTTTTTTACATGGGTTAAATTATTAGCATATATATCTTAAGTGGTGGTGTTATTGGTGATAGTCGTTTAGAGAATAAAATAAATTTTGTTTTGGTAATGGAAATTTGTAATCCTGACTGTAATAACCTGTTTTTTACGTTATTTAATGCATTTTGTAGATTTCTTTGCAATGACTCTATGCTTTTACCTTTGGAAAACAACACAATATCGTCAGCCTAAAGTCTAGCCTTAACAACCTTTGAACAGTTGTCTAATATCTTATTTATTGATATTAAAAAAAAGTGTTGTACTTATAACAGATCCCTGTGGTGTTTTATTTGCTTGAGATTTAGTAATAGATGTGATATCATTTACGCAGACTTTAAACTGTCGTTTACTCAGGAAATTTTGTATAAAGTGCAGTACATTACCTTTCACACCCCAATTACTTAGAGTTTTGTCAAATCGCCATTCCATATCAAATGCTTTTGTTATTTCAAAGGATACAGCAAGATACTACTGTTTACTTGCGAAACTTTCATGTATTTGTGATTCTAATTCTCTAAGATAGTCAAAATATTTTATCCCACTGAGATTTAAATCCCTAAGCATAAAGCAATATATTGAATAATCAATTTAAATTATACACCTATAACTAAAAAATATAACAATATCTTACTCTGGATTATGAAGCACTTCATAAATGGCGTCAAAAAAACTATCCTCAGTGATTGTTTTAAAATCTACTACAGTTGCCCATTTTTGCACCCTCATTTGTTCAGCTAGTAGATGTTGGTCTACTATAAATGGCACAGCTACTATAGGAACTCCACGATAAACGGCTTCAATTGTGCTAAGAGCACCGCAGTGGCTAATAAACAGTTTTGTTTTTGAATGCGCTGAAATTAATATAATTTTGGTATCAAAAATAATATTGTTGTGTAGCTATTTTATTGTGGCATTATAAAGGAATTACTATTTAAATGGGAATAAGCCACAATTAAAGGTTAAAGTAAGTTTATTGACGTTTCAATATATTTTTTTTTTCAATTTCCGAAGTGGAAATTAAAACGTCAATAAACTTACTTTAACCTTTAATTATGGCTTATTGCCATTGAAATAGTAATTACATCAACAATAATGTCATAGTTACTTTATTAAAAATATTTGTAATACTCTGTATATTAGAATATTACGCTATTTAATTTTTTTTTATTGAGTTTAATGCGTCGACACCTAATGGTAATTGGCATGGTATAGTGAATTTTTACAGTCAGGTGTGCAGTGTGTGTGTGTATGTAGAGTAAAGGTCTTGATACTTAGCTAAGTCGACGTCATTATTTTGCTAAGAGACGCTAATTGTATCCGAACGTCTGCGGTCCCTCCGGTGAGTACCGATCGCACAAGGATAGAAATTATTTTCATTTATTAATTTTTAATAAACGAAAATTTTCACCCAGGTGAGATTCGAACTCACGACCTTTAGGTTCAAAGGTAGGCGCTCTTACCACTGAGCCACAGAGGTGGTTATTTAATTTTTGATTTGGTAAAAATGTTGTGCTTTTTCAAGTTTTTTTAGGAATGCACTATTTATTTAAAATATATATACAATTTATACTTTGACCAAAATAATGGGCTAAAACGCGCAGAAGGGGGGAAGAAATTGGAATATTCAGATAAATACTATTTAGTTACTTACCACTTTTTATGTTCAATATTTTTGAAATCAGAAATTTAGGTAAAGCTTGTTGATATTAAGGCCTATGTCTAAGGTTTCATTAGCAAAATCTCGGCAGATCTCAGACTGCTTCACTAACCTTAAGATGTAGATAATTATGCCTACAGTATACGAACATTATATACCGAAAAATATGACTATCATAAAGTTAAAAGTAAAATCATAAACATACCTCCAAGCATTGAACATATTATCAGCTTTATTATGGTTGAATTTGTCATTTACCTTATTATTTCTTTTTTCTTTTGGCAAAACCACGTCAATAATAACAAATCAAATTAAAATCATGCTTTGAATCCATACAATGCTAAAAAATGTAAGAGTTGTGTAGAGAGTACAGATAACATGTCTCCTTATCTAAGCAAAAATCCTTGGCAAATTGGTTTCTGGTACACATAAACAATAAACTGAAATATAAGAAGAGAAGACTCTTACTTATTTAGATGTAAAAATGAGATTTATAGAATAATTACATCTTTTGGCATCGTTTGTTTTGCATTGTACTTATTAGAAGATTAAAGCAAGCAAGAATCTGAATTTTGGTTTTGTCAATAAAAATCTTTGAATTTCTACTTTGCGATTTATTAGCAGATGTCCCTATATCAACCATACTGAAGCCTTTTTATTGTTACTTCTTTCGACGAAAAATATTAGTTTTCATGTTTAGAAGTTCTGTACCAGTCTCTCTAATGATTTCTGGTATTCCTGAAATAGGTATAAGCGAATATACAAAGGCACTATACGTAAAATCAAGTCTTAACTGTTTTTCTATTATTTCGGTATACTCTTTATGAGTACTAGAAACCAATAAGCCAAATAATTTTGCTTAGATGAAGAGATATGTTGTGGAAGGCAACTTTTAGATTCTCAATACCTTTCTTACATCTTTTAGCATCGTCTCTTTTGCCATTTTTATAAGGTATAGATTAAAGCAAAAATCCAAATAAAAATATTCAAATTTCTGCTTTTGCGATTTATAAAAATTTTGGAAAAAAAGGAAAAAAATCAGCCGGCCAAAAACGGTTTTTAGTATATGCCTCATCAGTGGAATACCGCTTATACCATCCTAATTTACAAAACGGGTAACAACACAAACCTTACAACATATCAACCAATTTTTATTTCTCCATAACTAGCAAAAAATTTACTATTATGAAGTCATTACCAATAGACTTTAACTGGTGTTTATCAAAAACGGAAATTTGACGAATACCAATCAGTAAAACAAGCTGCCTTCTATACGTAATGAATAGACTTAGGTAAATATGCAAATTGCATATTTTGCATATTATTGCATACAAAATGCAAAAATGTCAAATTTTGCATATTTTTATAAAAGTGAGCATAAAATGCATATAATTTGAAAATTTGGCGTTAACTATACATTTTTATATTTCAACTTACAGATAGCATGAAAATGCCAATATTTAATTTTTGTTAACTTACTTACTTTTGCACGAAGCAAATGGGAGCTACAAAAAGTAGTAAAGAGGCTAGATAGAGAGGCAAAGAAAATAGGCTTAGCCGTCAACTAAAGACAAGACAAAATACATGGAATGGATAGATGATAGTGATCAAAAAGGAGGAATTTTAAAAATAGAAGTAGAGGCTGAAAAAGCATATATATTTGAAGCAGTGGAAAAATTTACATACCTGGGGTCGATGTTCACATGCAAACCAAATATTAGAGATGACCTCCTACAGCACAGTAATACTTGTAATTGCTTACATACCCTGAAGACAATGCAAAAGATAAAGAAGTATAATTTCTCTTTCTCTCTGTTTAGCCTTTATAGATTATGAAATGTCTTTTATATTGTGCAACTAGGTATGAGTTATCGAGAAAGCATTGGTCAACATCCCGATAGATTAAGGTTAGAGAATAATATTAGGTACATAATATTATGTATGAACAAGCAAAACTGACAGTGTTAACCAGTCAGAGTAAGTCAGAAGGGTATATTTCCAAAACTGTTAAAAAGCAGCTATGGAGGAAATAATAACTCGTTGGTCTGGAGCAAGTCCAAAACTAAAGTAAAGCAGTTGGACTCTACAAAAGAAAACAGAAAACCGAAAACCTTAAATGACTCAAGAAATACTGGAAATCAAAAATCAAAGAAGAAAATATAGAAACAAAAACACAAATAATTACAGAGAAAAACATAATTAATAAGGAACCAAATAAAATAAGCTAAGGAAAAGAGAATGATTGATAAATTGATACATGATTGATACATGATACATTGAAGTAAAAGAATTGCAGAAAAATCATGGTCATTATAATTTACATAAAAAAGTGAAGAAATTATCTGGAAAATCACGAACAAATAAACCTAACCGATTAATTTGACAAAAAACAATAAACCTATTAATAACTTAACTGAAATAAAACAAGTTTGGACTAATATATTGAAGATCTGTACATGGACACAATAACGAAACCAACACAAATTAATAACGAGGAAGCTCCAATAATAATAAAATAAACAACTTAAAATCTGGCAGAGCTCCTGGGCCAGATAAAATTCATATCGAGGTGACTAAACTTATAGACGAAGACAATGAAAGTGCAATAACTATACACTTTAACAACATTTACAAATCTGGTGAGATACCTACAGAATGGCTGCTATCGACCTTTGTTCCGCTACCAAAAACCAAGAACCTCAAACACTGTAATGACTAAAGCCTAATGTATCACTTATTAAAAACATTTCTAAATATTATACATGCAAAAATATTCAGGAAGTGCGAAGCGGATATGAGCAATAGACAGTTTGGCTTTCGTAATGGCTTCAGAATAGTGGAAGCTCTGTATAGTTTTACAGTTCTTGCCCAAAAATGTCCAAACCAATAAAAAGTTTTTTTTGTTGCGTTTATGGACTATGAGAAAGCTTTCGATAAAGTTAAGCATAACAATCTCATGAAATATCTAGAGAGAAAAAGTTTCGACAAAAAGACACTATGACATTAACATAGTGAGAAATCTCTATTGGAACCAACAATCTGTGCTAACATTAGATAGAAGTACACAGATAAGTAGAGATAAGTAAAGGAGTGAGATAGGGCTGTATACTTTTACCGTTACTATTAAATATATATTGCGAAGATTTATTATTATACTATAATAATAACTCTTTGGAAAATATAAATAACATCCGTTATGCTAACGATACAGTCATTATCGCTGAAATTGAGACAGACCTGCAAACGTTACTAAATACAATTTGTGAAACTGAGGAACAGTTTGGTTTAACTATAAACATAAAGAAAACAAAAACCATGATTATCAGTAAGAGGGGCAAAGTCATTACAAGGATCCAGATAAGAAATAAAGATATTGAGCAAGTGGACAAAATAAAATACTTAAGGGTCTAGATTAAGGAAGATCTGAATCCGAAATCAGAAATTCACTTAAAAATAGAACAATAAAGAGCAGTCTTTTAAAGTATGAGGAAATTTCTGAGTAACCAAAGACTCAACCTGCAAATCCGATAGCGGATGGTAAAGTGTCATATTCACTCTATTCTTTTTTATGGTGTCGAAGCCTAAACTATTAATGTTGACTTAATGGGAGAACTGAAAGCTTTTAAGATAGGCTTTAATATTTTAAGGCTTTGGCTTCTTAGAAGAATACCATGGACCGATCATATTTCGAACGAAATTGTGTTACATAAAATGGGAAGAGACAGAACACTTTTGACGACCATTAAAAGGCGAAGGACAGCATATTTGGGGCACATACTTGAATGATAAGTACGAGTTGGTGTAGCTGATTATGAAAAGTAAAATTAAAGGAAAATAGGTCCCGATAGACAACAAATATCCTGGATGAAAAACATTGGCGACTGGACCGGGTTAATCACACAGACGCTTTTAAGAAAAGCAGAAGGTAGAGATGAATTTTCAATGGTTATAGCCAACCTTCATTAGTAGAGACGCTACTAGAAGAAGAAGAAGAAGGGCCGAAGAAGGTGACAAACTTCTGGTAATGAAAAGTATTTCAATCATTTTAGATACTCTGATTATGTAATTATAATACCACCAGACTGGAATGAACTGGACGAAAATAAAAGAGGTCTATATTCGAACAATCAAATAAAAAAGGGTAAATAAGCAATAAAACTAAATTAGTCCAAAAATTCCTATTATCATTTAAAATAAATCAGAATTATCTATATACTAATAATTTCATAAAGCATAGAATTTCTAGAATCGATAAGAAACAACAAGATATTATTCCTTAATCATATACAGTTTTTACATACTCATAGTTACCTAGTATATCACTTTGTGGTAACCATTTTCTTAAAATAACATTTTTTGGTACGTCTTTAATCTCACTATCAAATTTCCATAATACTGTTTCATTCAGTCTAGATAACGCCCTTAGAATTGCTTGCACCCTGTCTGCATTGAGATCAGCTGTTCTTATGTTTGTTCCAAAACCAAACAATATAACTCCATGCTTGGATCTCGTTATAATTTGTTCAATATCCTGCAAAGAGAATAAATCGTTAAATTTGTTTATTATATAAGCTGGTGCAACTGTGTACGTGTTTTGGTTAACATTTACTATTTATTTATTGATAGAAAATAAAGTTCAGTTAAGCTTTCATCTTATAAAATAGAAATTTATGTTTTGTGTGTGGTAAATTTTAAAATATGCTCTGATTTTATTTTTGATGTAATTTTTAAAAGTAATAACAAGTTTGCAACATTAAGCAAATGTATGAACATTGTTTGGAAAAGTATTTAGTTTTTATTTATATGTATTGCTTTTAATATTTTTATTACTGAAATCGTATTAAATTATATATTCACATTATTTATTTTATTTAATGAGTTATATTGTGTTTTCTTAACTTTTATTTTTAAACTGTCTAACACACATAATAATTTTTTTTCTCTCATAATTTACTATGGAATCACTAACAGGAGAATTTTACTGTCATCATGTCATGTGTTTGTCTTTTTAAAGACGAATTACATGCTATGATTTTTTCTGACGGATATTCTCAAGTTAAAGTTGATTTCATGTAATCGAATGAACAATCTTATAAGTAAAGTCGTCCCAGGAGCGCAACTCAACAATATTGGCAATATCATTTTAAAGTCGTCTACTTTAAAATGCATAATGTATGTCTGAATTGTCAATATAAATGAGTCAGATAAAATTAAATTATTAGAAGAATTTTTTCACTATGTAACAAAAAACAAAATTTGTTTAATTTACTGTTTGTATTTTGAGAACGATTTCCGAATTGGAAATTGAAACGTCAATAAACGTATTTTTATCTTTAATTGTAGCTTATTCCCAGTTATAAATAGTAATTAACACATAATACGGTCATCTGTTTTTAAGTCCAAAAAATACACGTGTCTTTAACTGTCTGGTATACGCACTTTGGTATTACGGAAGAAGGCTACAGTTTTAAAACCCTGCTTTATTTGGGCCCGCGTCCGTTCTTGAGAAACTTCTGCGGACGATCTTTATATTTATATATAGTTTATATAGGTTTATATATAGACAGAACTAGGTAGATCTAGACAAGAGATCATAATATGCACATCTACAGCTTAATGTGAAATAAATCTCCCTTCGCGTCGTGTCTCCAACACGGCTTTTCAACCCATCAGTGAGCTTAGACTCTATGTTCTACACTGCTAATTAAAACCGCACTAAGGCCCAGGCAACCCAGGCACGTGCCTAAATCCCGAAATTTTTAGGGCTCCAAAATTAGGTCTTCATTTTTTACTTTTTATTTTGATTTAACAGATAACGTGATATTCTTAATAATTGCTGAAACGTATCTAAATTATACCGAATTGTAGATTGGTAAAGTTGACGTGTGGACAAGCGGTTTCTGTGCTTAAGCTCTGGTTTCCTCGAATGCGGTATCGGCAAATTACGATCGCAATATTGCGGCGAATGACGTCATAGAGCACTGTACCATGCACAATGATACCAGTGGTTTTTAAGGAAGCTTTGGAAACCATCGCAACGCAATATGACGGTACCGGCAGATTGAATGCGGTAGTCAATGCGGCGAGAAACATTATGTTAACGGTTTATTGCGATGGTGAATCGTGATGATTCGTTTGTGTTTTTATATTGTAATACCTTTAAACTGATAAAATAATCATCTTTTGTATATCCTAGGACTTATCAAATAAGATCGGCGTCAACCGAAAATATTTTCTGAACTTATTTTCGTTAGTATGTAAATGGCGACAAATTAAAATTTGGTATGCACCCTCTACAGTTCTATTTTTAAAAAGGTCAGATTCATTTCTTCTATTATTCTCTTACTTTGATTCCTCACCATCCAGCACTACTAAAAGAGCTACATCGAGGTCGTCCATGGTCCCTCGTTTTTGATTTCTCCACTGCAATCTGACGTCATTCATCGCAATATTACGGTCGTAATTTGCCGGTACCGCTTTTGAGGAAACCAAAGCATTACGCATCGATACCCTTGAGTATCGTGTGTAAATACGATTGAGGCTCATGCCTATCGAGCCTTTAGTATGCACGTGTTTAAAAATACGAATCTAGCTATTTAAAACTTACGTCTCCTGAACGTTGCATCTGATTTGAGTTTTGATTGAAAATTGTGCAATTAAGACTTAAATACCTAGATTTAATTGCAACTAGATTATTTTGTATTTATAGTTAATATTTTCTGAAATTCCTAAAATAAAAATGTGTGTTTTTATAAAAGTATTACATTTTTTCATTAAAAGAATAATACACACTACCACAAATTGAGATTTTGTTTGTGATTGTAATATTAAATAAAAATAAATTTAATTTCAGTTATTACGTGCTTTCTTTTACTACGTTTTTTTTTTTAATTAGTTCCTATAAATATTTAAGTGGAAGTGAAAAAAGAAAACGAAAAACAGACTGAAATTAAGTGGCAAAACAAATTAAAAGATCGTTGGACAAATTTTTAACTGGAGATGGAGAACAATTACAACAATCGTCATCATTTCTACAAATTTCATCTGCTCAAACTTCAGAAACATCATTTGTGCACAAAATTAATTTGCAAAAAGACCAGTCGAAAAAACCAGCAGTTCTGATTTTGAAGATGGAACAAAAGGAGAAAATATCAATTTAAAATCATTTCAAAGTAATATGATAAAACTAGAGTTTTGTAAATGATATTGGATTATAACCAGAATATATTATATTCGATGCAACAGAGGGTCAAAACAAAACATAAGAAAATTACCTATTGCTTCCTTCTTCTGAACAATAAATAGCGGAGCAAAAGTTAAAAGAGATTGGTTGGCTGAAACTGAAACCAACAGTTCCAAGCAAATAAAGCTAATAACAAAAGTGACGAATGATTGGATACATGTATGTAAAAGATTGTCAGATCATAAAAACTCCAGTGACCTATACCTACCAAACGGATTGACACCGAACTAGAAAAATAAACGATAAATGAAAAAAATATACATTAGATGAACGTACTTTAACGTTAAGAAGCGACAATCAAACTTATTTCTTACATACGTAACCACTGAGTGCTAATCGCAAGCATGATGTCATATGATCGTCAGTTAGTCGATTGCGATATTTTGACTTATTTATCTTTATTTCAGAAAATGCAGACTCGCACAAGTAAGTTGACCCAAAAAATGCCGTCAGTTGAAGGGCGATTTGCCTAACATTCGGATATTTATCTTCAGATATAAAACGCCAGAAATTTGTATCAGATACTGTAGCTTTGAGATGTATATCTGATATAATCTGCACCAACTCATTTTCAACAGAACATGAGTTCATATTAAACTGACTTGCTATTTCAGTAGCTAATTCCTCAATGTTTTTACATGAAAAAGGATAACTCATAAGTGATGCTATATTTTCAGATTTACTGCAATCATAAAAACGCATTTCGAATTGTCCCAAAATATTTGATAATTCAGCCTCATACGTATCATAATTCAACTGAGGAATCCTTGCTTTCAAAGACGGAAAATGTCTCAGATCCTTTCTTTTCAGTTGATCTATCATAAGTTGCAATTTACTTTTGAATGCGTTTACTGCGCTAATCATCTCAATAATAGTTTTTCCTTTACCTTGAAGCTCCAAGTAAACGGTATTTAAGTGCATTTTGATGTCAGTCAAAAATGCCAAATCGTTTAGCCATTTTTCGTTTTTCAAAATCTGAGTGTCATCACTTCTTTCGTCTAGAAAAGCTGTTATTTCGGGCAATAATTCTTGAAACCTTTCTAGGAATTTTTCGCGACTCAACCACCTGACGTCCGTGTGAAGAACTAAATCAGTGTGTTCAGCTGACTCCCTATCTTCCAACTGCAACTAAAAGAGCCGCCGTTGCAAGCTACGCGCACGGATGGAATTCACAATTTTTGTTGCAATGCCCATAATTTCCTCCGTGTTTAAAACTTTTGAACACAAAACTTGTTGATGTATAATGCAATGGAATGAAAAAAATGACGGGAATTCTTCATTAGCTCAACACAATACCACAAAACCGTTTTTGTTTCCAGTCATTGCTGGTGCTCCATCGGTTGTAATGCACATTAATTTATATATTGGTAGCTCGTAGTTTTTTACAAAATTTAAGAAAACCTCACATATATCTTCGCTACGGGTCTTTCCCTTCAAAGGAATGATTGTCAAAAATTCTTCCTTAGCCAACATGTCATTGAATACCATCCGAATAAAAATACACAGCTGGGCAGTGTCTGTCATATCGATGGATTTGTCGAACTACTAAAGAAAAGTATGTACATTCCATGATATCATGTTTTAGTTTATCTGCGAAGTCTTGACTCATGACTTCAATACGCCTTGTGACAGTCGGACGAGATAACTGAAGTTCTCTAATAGCAGACATGATTTCTGTTTTATTTTTAAAATCTCCAAATAAAGTCTCACCCGCTTCAATAAATGCTTCCTTCACCACCGATCCATCTTCAAATGGTTTGTTGTGTTTCGCCAAAATAGGAGATATTTCAAATGACGCGATCGTAGCAGCTTTTGATTGTTTGGCTGGTCTTGTGAACATGGATTGTTCTTTTTTCAAACAAGATATCAAATCACTTACTTTTCGTTTTCTTAATTCACTCTGAGGTGGAAAATCCTTTTCATAGTTTTTATGAACCGTTTTATGATGCCTCTCTAATTTACCACGCTTAGGTATTGCAACTGACGCAAGACAAATAACACAAATGCACTTATCCTTCACCGTAGAAAAGAAAAATTCTTCCTCCCAATCCTTATTAAAATGATACGTTTTATATTTCTTCACTGCACTTATTTTCCACTATTTAATAATAAACTTTGTATCGACGTAGGATCGCTATCAAGTTACAATTCAGAATAACTCCAATTCCTGCAGGCGCAACATTTATATCGGCGTGAACGAAAGTCTCGAATGTTTACCGTCAAACGCTCCGCCCAAAACTAGACTGTACTGTCTCTCGTCTAGAAACAACACGGCTTTTCTTTGACAA